TAATTCGAGCCTTGGCTTTCTAAATTAGTCTCCTTTCTTGAAACTTCTCAATAAAAATTTATGTGTAGAGTAGAAAATCAAACCTGAGCTAATTACAAATCTGACTCTCACATGAAACCATGCGGCAGGTAAGGTGTTTTTAAGGTGTTTACTAAAATCTTGTAAAATTCCCTGAGAATTCCTGGATTTTCTAGGTATTTTTGTTCAATATTCCAAATAAAATAAGACAATTTTTTTAATGCAACTCTGAAATAAATTGGAATACTAGTAACGCAAACAAATTATTATAAATTAGTAGAAGGCAAAGATTCCACAAGACTGTATTTATCCTTTTCTATTTGGAGGTCTGAAACCTATTTTAGGGATAATACAGAAAAGACTCACTACAGTATCAGTAAGCTACTTTTTTCTGCTTTCTTCTATTGTCACCTGATTTTTTAAATAAAAACTCGCGAGACACATACGAAAATGTAAATAAATACGTAGATATATATATATACATAGATGTGTATGCCATATGTATTGCTAAGCCTGATTATCAACATTATACATTAATACAAATAAAATGATTAAAAAAACAATGTTATCGGAAAAAGATAGAAGTAAAATTCTAAAAATATCCGTCTGTATCGACAAATTTCATAAAAATTCTTGATATTTAAGGATACAAAATCTCCTAAAAATTCTATTCCAGGTTTTTCTAGATAGTAAACACCCTGCCAGAATAAAATCTTACGCCTAATGATAACTTTTTGATGTTTAAAAATATTCATAATAATCTCTCTTTTCTTTATTTCAAGTAACTCATAATTTATTTATGACAAATAATAGCTTTATGTATATAATCGATAACATAAAAAGTAGAAAATTAAATAAAATAAAAAATCAATTACCTTCAATGAGATAGTATGGTACTTTTCATGCAATTGTATATTTATCGCCTGCAGATTTCTATTTTCCATTTGTATTTCCGCATTGGCACGACGTACGACTTCGTCAATGTTCGGTGCCTCTTCTATATAATACGATTTATAATCTTCAATTATAAAAATGTACGATTTTTTTGCAAGTTATATATATATATCCATAAAGTTCTTTACGAGATTTTTGTGGAAAAATTTGAATCTTACCGCAAATCAAAACATGATATATATGTCAATTTATTCGAGTATATTATATTAATTTAAAATCTTAAAACAAATTCTGGATGTAACTTACCGCCATCAAATTCTCCTTTAAGGGCAAGAGTGATTTTTTCATTTCTCTGAGATAAACGATCAAATGCCTGTACAACTTTAGACACAGCTCGTTTTGATACCTGTACACGGTTTGCTAATTTGTCATCCAATTCCTCTTTATCCCAAGAAGATAATTGCATTAGAAATGATGTTGTAGCCTCACTCTCGTCTATAATTAAAAAGAAAAACATTTTGTTAAATTTATCGCAAAAAATATTGTTACATTGCATCTTTTTTTCAAAGCTTACTTTTATTTTCAGATTCATCGGCAGTTTCAGCATCGAATCTCTGTAATAATACACGTATATCTTCATTGAGTTGATTCCAATATCGGTTAACTACATTAAGTACTGCATCGTCCTGCATTTGGCGTTTCTCTAATTGTTCAATACGTTGTCTCAATTCAGCTTCCATTCTATGTCTTTGCTCCAATCTCTGAAATAAGTAAATTATACATGAAAAAAAAATAGGTATATACTAAAAGTTATATAATAATATGAACAATTTATATATGTATAAAAGTATAATTTATATCAAATTATAATAGTATATTTTTAAATTTTAGAGTATATACAAAAATATTATATGTATGTAATATGTATGTACAGGACGACAATTGAAAAATCAAATCTAAATCATTTATTTCATAATGAACAAATAAAATTATTCGACAAAAAAATTTAATGTTTATTTATTGTATATTTTTAGTAAAAAATAATACTAATTTAGTTTCAACTTCCTGCAATAATAGCAAATGTTATCCTGAATAAACTATATTTTTATATATAATTAATATAATTTTAAAATTACTCAACAGAATTGTGTAACTATTTTTTTATTAATATTATTTTTTTATATACAATTATATGCAACATGTTATTACAGTTTAATCTTTATCTTTATCTGCAATTACAAATCAATTTATTAAAAGTAATAAAAGTATAAATGCAATGTAAACTTTATATACCTGTGCCAGTTTTTTATTCTGAAACTGTAAAACTTTCATGTCCATCTCTTCGAGAGTAGATATGGGTCCAATTAGAATCGGTTCGAACTGCACCTTCTTTATAGGTGGTTGGGAACTAGAGTCCCCATTATCTGGGGGTCGTTTCGACATCTTTGCACGTAGTGCTGTGTCTGTCAATTACAAATAGTAACAAAATAATTTATTTAGGACATTGAGATGTTTTTATTTAAAGTAAAGCTTATACTGTTTAATGTTTTCTGGTGCATAGAATATCATATATTCTATAAATAATTGTACTAGTTTCGAATGAAATATTTTACTTTCTACATGTGGTATGTTACCATATTATATAAATAGATAAAGAAAAGTGCTATATTTACATCAATCTCGATGTAAATATAGTACTTTATAGTTAGTACAATAATATTAGCTTCAGAAAAAAAAGATGAAAAACTTCTACGAGGTTATGTCTATATCGAAGAGAGAGAAATCCACATAGACGTTGCAGGTGAGTCATCAGTAATGACTGAAAACATTAATGGCCAACACGTGACAAGCATGATTTGAAAAATATATATACAAAAACGAGAAATAAAGACTTTATAATATATTATCAAAATCGACGTCTTCTAAGATGTCGTCTCGTTTTGTCACGCCTATAATGTAGCCAGTGTTTCAAAGTAAATTGAAGTAAACGATACATAATTAGAATGGAATTCGTGATACTGAGAAGCGTAGGGGCTATCATAAACGTTACTGAAATTTTTCAATTTACGAAGCTCTGGAGAAATGAAATAACAGCGTTGGTGTAATGTCGTTATTATTGATTTCGCGCGCGCGAGGTGGCGGTGGGCGCGGGTTTACCTTAGTACAAGCAATTAAACTGTTTCCGCTGCCGTTGCTACGTCCACCTTCCACGATTATTCGTGCTTCGCTTCCACGACCTCGCTGCTACGACATCATTCTCCGACAAACTGTGCCTCGTGTCTTGGATCGGTCGTCACGGACCTCTGCATCTTTCGCGATTTCATGGACGAAAATCGTGGAGTCGTTCAGAAAGCACGCCAGTCCGTTGATCGTCCTGCCCCAGCCAGGGCAGCCAGCCAACAAAAATCACCGTTACGCGGCCGTTCGGAATGATTCGGAAAGTAAACGATTGGAAAGCGGTCGATATATGAATCTGTCTGTAGGTAAAGAAAATTATTCCCGTGTCGACGACACTCATATGATAAATAAAATTTATGATAACATTTAGGTAAAGTTGATAATATAGAATTCTTTAAAATTATTATGATAATAATATAGGTTGCCGTCAAAGTCGCTACTGTAAGAAAAGGTTAGGTTAGGTTTGCCTTGTTTAGTGTAAGTGGTGATTTACATATTGTGTACCATTTATATTGATACATGCATGATCTCTTAAAGAAATTCTTCATAATTTTGACTATTCTTTGAAGAGAACTGTCAGTTTTTCACATTTTGACTGTCTCTTAAGAGGTATTACTATTATTTTCCGTGTCCGTGATATTAATCGTTAAATATGAATTCAAAGAAAATCACTCTGTCAAAGAGTATATTGGGAATGAAGGTGAGTTGGAAAAGTTTGTAAAATAGAAAATAAAATATTTTTAACAAACAAGCATATTATTTCACGTTATTTGTTATTTTGACGTCAAAATGATGATAAATAACGTCAGTTTGTTCGCTCGATGTTATGGCATGATAATGAGTGGACTTGTTTGCAGTTCATGAAACGCACAAAAGACAAAGTGGAGAAAGAACAGTTTCAAGAAGAAGGAGAAGAATACTTCGGCAGCGAGCTTACATCACGTATGAAAAAAGCATCGTAAGTACTTTCTGTTATTTTTTCCAACTAGCCTTATATCTGGATTAATAATTATGTAAATTAAAATAGTAATATGAATTTTTGGATATTTTGTATTTTGAAATATGTATATTTGAGACTCACATTTTTTCCTGGTGAAAATATTGCTGTGATATCAATTGTTTCTATTTTATGTTTAAGTGGAAAATTTCTTATGGAATCGAGTTATGTTTTCTGCAAGAAACTTAATGACGGTAGATTAAGCTTTCAAGGGATGAATCCAACTATAGAAAAATTAATGGAAGCAAAGGAAAATGCTAAACGAGCCAACGAAGATGTGAAACAAGAGACCGATATATCTGATGAACAAATGGCTGTTCAATGGACGAAAATGCGAGCAAAATTTGATAGTACAAACAGACACAGAAAGCCACGACATATAAAAACAAACAATGAAGACGAACCATTAAGTAAAAAACCGAAATTTTTGAAACCTGTAGAATGAATTTGCATTGTAAATAATTATATAATAATTATACATATAATTTTATTTATATTAAGTAAATAAATATATTGTACAGTTTGTATATTTGACGCACGCATAAATTTTTATCTGATAAAACTTAAATTGATTATTATTAAAACGATTATATTATTTTAATATAATCGTTGAAGATCATATAGTTGTTATTTTTAATAATATTTAGTTAATTATCACACTTAAAATACAC